ATACTGGCTTTTCTGTGATTGTAGCTGTGGTACTCCCTGAAAACAAAATTCCATGTGAGTGAGATAGAGAGATGTACCAACAAAGTCAAAATGCACCCATTTATTACCTTATTATAAGCATTAATGCAAAATGAAACATCAAGGTCTGGTTATTATTTCTTTCTTTTTTTCAAGAGATACTTTATTTGAAAAATATGCTATTTTGAGTATAACCCTTTTCATTTTTTTCCAAAGTGAATTTAATATTGTTAGCTAAATTCTACCATTATTATTCCACTGCAAAGGCTGCTAATATGGAGGCTTGATATAAAAGCCCTAAATTAGAACAATTGGCACAAGAAAAGTTTGAAAGGTTGATGAGTTTGGTTTTGATTGGAGAAATTTAGAAATTTCTAGATTTTTTTTAGAAATTAGAAACTTAGAGAAAATTTTAAGGTGGGTGGCAGAAACAATTTTTTCATGTACAGCAAATCATACCAGCAGTGCGATTAGTACTATAGCTGAGATTTATCCTTAAAGGCACAGTTTCAATTTTCCAGATTAGAATCAGTGGCTCGATTTATATGCTGGACTATTCCATGATTTTTTAAATTGTGGTTTACTGTGCAACCCATAGTGGCTTGCTTTATTCATATCTATAGGACTAAACCATGCTATACTAACCACAATGTTTTGGTCCATGTATCACTGCATTTTCCAAAATGTGGGTTATGAGTCTCGGGATGCATAGGAGTGAGACATACAATATGATAAAATACGCATGTATGAAAATCCTTCATTTTTTAAAATAGAAAATCTTTATGAGATGGGTTTATTGCTACATTATTCTTTTATGCATCATATTTTGCTCCTTAATGAACTTGACACGTTTAGATTGGAGCTGAATAAGGCAGAATGCTTTGTAGTACAATCTGCAGGCTTTGTGCAGTCTTCTATCTTAAATCTTTTAGGGAATGTTTTCAAGGAAAATGCCATAATATCCATCTCATGGAACTGATAGAACACTCAGAGCTTGCTTAATTCTTGTTACTGTTTTTACATTTTCATTGTTTGCATAAGAAGGAAAGGAGCCTAAAATTTGTTGGGGTGGCGGGCGGAAAAACCAGGCACCAGTACTGTGTGATGCTTAATAAGAATGCATTTGCTTTGGGCTACCTTTATGCCCAATTAATCACACACTACAAGAGAAGATAAAACCTAGCCCAAGCATATCAACAGCTCT